ATATAATAATGGAATAATCATTTTAAAAGTCAAAAATTGTGAATTTGAATATGATATGTATCTTAGAAATTTTAATAGATTTGATATATTTTAAGTTGAGATTATACATTTTATAAATTATTAATGGATATTTTAATTTACATAGAGAATTTAATATTTGGTTGACCTTTTTGTTAATGTAATAAAGTAGAACTAGTAAAACCAAAAATAAATGATATAATAATTAAAATATAATAGGAAAATATGTTTTGCATTTTGGACTCTTGATTGATAAATTATCAATAAAATTATATGATATCTATGCATCCTGTTATATTAATTGTAATGTATTTTTTCATATACACCATTAAAATATCCGTATTTATACATTATTTATGATTATTTGACCTTAAATTTAAAGCGTATCCGTATCCAAGTTGTCTGATACGATATGCGATACCGATACTTTAATCCTTGACCGATAGTCTCCTGGGGGGCGGGTAAGTTGCTTACCCACCCGCCAAAAACATTAAAAACCTCCCACCAAAGTCTTTACCTGAGTAAGCATCGGTGCAACCAAACATTGGCACCACAATTTTCCCAGGTAACTCTTGCCCAAGAATCATTTGCCTAGGTAAGCGGCTATCCGGATACCAAAAAACGAATAAGACCTTTGAATTAGGGCCACCATTTTTTCTTCAAAGAGTTATCAAAACCAATGGCCCTTGAAAAACTTAATAAAATGTTTCCTTCCCCATCCCTAACCACCCCTCTTACATAAGACTCATCTGGGTTGCCTAAACAACGCCCATCAAAACTGAATTTTAACCTGTTAGCTTCAGGTGGATAGTTTATCTTCCTACATACTAAGGAGAGATGTGATATGAATGGATCTAATTGAAGATACTTTATGTCCTTGTTATTTTAATCCTACTGGACCAAATTGATAAGTGCTTTTCCCAGTTGCATGTGTTTGGAGGCTATGGTGGAATCCTTGGAAGTTAGGATTCTTAATGAGATACCTGATAATATTATTATTATTATTATTTTGATTAATAACACTTTGATTAACTCATCAAAAGAAGATTTACAATAGGAAGACAAACACGCTTATCTTTCAAGAGCAGCAAAGAACCTCAAGAAAAGAGAAAAAAGAAAGAAAACACACTATAGTTACAGCTTAGCCCAAAAAAGTGAATCCCTTTCTGCCCCTTGTTTAGCTAAAGCGTCAGCTAGGGAATTAGCCGATCTTTTAACCCAAAGTATCTTAACTTCCATCTCCCGCACCAGCCACTTGAATTTCCTCCTCTCATTATTGTACTTCCATAAGCCATTGTGATCTTTAATCAGCCACCCTATCACCACCTCTGAATCCCCTTCAATTAAGAGTTTCCTGATGTTCAACTCCTTAACTTTCTGTACTCCTTCCATAACTGCAAAGATCTCAGCTCTAAGGGAGTCACCCACTCCAATTGGGCCTGAGAACATAGCAGAAAGAGGAGAATGTCAAGTTTGATGTTATCGATCAGAAAAAAAAAGGAGGAGAATGTCAAGTGGAGCTTAGTAGGGAGGTGGACACCCCGTCATGTAGGGAATATAATGACAGAATTATTAATGAGGGGGATGTACGAGAAAAGATAGAGGAGATGACTACAGAGGAAGAAAGAGAGATTGTTCCTGGTTGAGTTGGGTCCGGTGGAAGGAAGAAGAGATGGGAAGGGAACAAGATGCTGGTAGGAACTGTAATAAGGAGGTTCAACTTGAGATCATGTGGAATGATTCTGGGGAGAACGAGATGGTCATGAAAAAAACAAAAGAGCTTTCTGTGGCAGGGGAGGAGTCTAAAGTGATTGAAGAGGGTAAGGATGTAGGCAGTGCTAAGGTGTTTAACAGAAATCAGAAGTACATAACTAGACCTTTGAGTCAAAGGGAAAAAGATGAATCTGAAAATGAAGGGGAAGAAAATCAAGAAGATGAAATTATGCTGGATGAACCATATATAGTGGATCTTTAAAGAGTGAGGCTGCACCTTGCGCCTCCTGATGGGATGCTTATAACAGTTGTTTATCCTTACTGTTTTCAATGAAATTTTAATGAACTTTTACTTATAAAAAACATTTTTTTGAGCAGATGTAAAGTATCCATTCATTCAAAGATAAAGATCAAATGTACAACCAGAGGCTGTACAAAAGAGAATACATAAAAACAAACAGACCACTATCCCATGAGGCATTACAAACAGACTTTCAAAATAAAAAAAGGGACCTATTAGAAGGAACTGTCAATATTCAGCTGTATTGCAGACCAGGAGTACAGTTTCCCCACAATTCTCTAACACACTTCATCCTCTCGACAGCTTTTGTTATGAAACATCCTTGAGTTTCTTTCTTGCCAAATCGACCAGAAAACTACACCTGGAATCAAGTTCCATAATTTTTTTTGACTTGCAAAAAAACATATATATTGGACAGATCGGTTGATTTGGACGTGGTGGTGAACAAGGGAGTGGAAGTGTGTAAAACTTTAGGTTTATTCTTTTTAGGGGGAGAAGAATTTGCAAGGATGATATTTAAGGAGATGGAGGAAAGGAATTGAGTGGAAAAGAAGTTGATCCATGATGGGGACGGGTTCAATTTAGGGGTAAAGGAATGCCAAGTTAAATTTGGGATTTTGGGGCTCGATGGGGTGGTTGACAGGGAAGGAAGTAATGGAGTGGAATTCTTGACTTTTGAAAAGAATGCTGTGCTGGAATTGGAAAGAATTAACGATGGTGAGCATGTACTTGAGAATTTTAAGAAGAGTTTTAACACAGCAAAGTGTCTTAGAAGATTATAGTGTCGGCAAACATTTCCGATTTCAAAAGCTTTTGCAATACTGAGAGGAAATGTRTTTGGAGTGGGGCCTATAAAAAAGTGAAGAAATTCAAAAGATTTAACAAGAGAGGGAGTAAGCTTGTTGCAGCCGATTCTAAAATAGTCAACTGAGATCAAGATTGTTTTGGGGGTGGGAGTGGCTGAAAGTTGTGATTGTCATTCAGATTTTAAGAGTTTTTTTTTTTTTTTTTTGGGGGGGGGGTTGTCTTTTCTTCTTGACTCAGGTGGGTCATTTTATTTTGGTTTGTGGGCTGGTGTTGTAGTTGGGGACCGGGTTTGAAGTTTATGGTCACTTTGTCATTTCCTTTTCAAAGGTTTGGGGGAAGTTGGTGGTTTGTGTTTTTGCTGGATGGGTTTGGTTTGTTTGAAGTTCTTGCTATGCTCTTCTCTCGGGTGACTTCTTGTTACCTTTCTTGTGTTTTTCTTTTTTCTTTAATCAATTTTATTTTTGTCTTAAAAAATGGCAAGTGTTTTTCCTATTTGCCATACATTGAAAACATGGAATCCACTGATATAATTTGAATATCTTGTTTTTTAATGATGTTTGAGTATTCTAACATTGTCTTCTAAGTGCATCCAATTAATGTAGATTTTGGCAGAACATTATCCTAGGGGTAACAAGGAATTGCGAGGATCTTTCTTCAGTGTTCATGGTCCATTAGATACCATGTCTTGGTTTTATGATCATGGTGTGGAGCTTAAGGTTCACTTTTTTATCTCTCCTCTCATGTATGTGAAACTCTCTCACTTTTACTTGTTTTGTAATTTTATTCTGATTATGCTTACTTCTACATGTTCCTATTCTGTCCTTAGACCGAAGATGATGGAAGGGTATTTCCTGTCGGCAACAGTTCATCATCTATAATTGATTGCCTTATGCTGGAGGCAAAGAGGAGAGGAGGTAATCGTGTTGCCAACTTACAATCTGGTGTTATTGGACCAGGAGCATTCATGTAGTTAAAGTCATCAATGGCCACATGGAGAGTTAATACTTTTTGCTTTTGATTATACTAATAGCTTGGTTACTCAGAAGGTCCAAACTATATTCTACATTTTGTAGTCTAAAAAAGAAGAAGACTAATGAGATATAAAGCATTAGAGGTAGCTTAATCGAATGCTTTGTTACTTTTCTAATTGGTATTTGAAAACATTGGTTCACTGGATATGCATGGTATTTGAAAATCTGAAGTTAGTACATTTGTATGTGATCTGTTGGTTCATTGCTTTTCAAGTGAGTAGTAAGAAACAGTGTGAGAATGTGATCTGTATGTTCCTTATTCTATTTTTGTTACTTGGTCATGATAGAACTTAATGAAGGAAACTCGTGCATCTTTAGAATTATTCAGTGGTTCCATGTGTACTGGTGTTGAAGTTACCGAGTTAGTGACTTCTTATATATAAATGCTATAAATCTGGCTCACATTACTGGTTGGAGCGAGGACGTCTTACTCTGAACACTGTAGAACATTAATGATGTTTAATGTATGTGGGCATATAATCACCTTTCTGTTTTTTTAATAACATATGCTTTTCTAGTGTGATAGCTAAGAAAGATTGCTGCCAACAAGGATGATAATACTTTGGCATGCTTAATCACAGTAGTAAACCACCTCTAAGAATCTAGACAGATCTTCTTGATCAGTAAAAGATCAAACTTTATTGAATTAGAAATGATAAGTACAAGTACAACGCTTGCAACAAGAGAGGGCTAGCTGGGGGGTTGTACCCAACACAAGAAATGATAGTCTAGACAGATCTTCTGATCTCTCTTCACTTTCTATTCTTTTCTTATTTCCTTTCTTTTTCGAAAGAAAAAGAAAAACTAACTGGGGGGTTGTACCCAACACAAGAACTTTCCACCAAGTCCCTCTCTACTTAAGGTGTCTGCAAAGGAGTTTTCTGATATAGGAATCTAGCAAGGGATTGTGAGAGAGAGAATGTTCTGGGCAGTTTTGTGAGAAAGATTACTGGGGGCTCAACACCTCTCTAGGGGTTGACAATTGTACTTAATTCTGGAAAGTTATGCTTAAGTTGTATTAATGAAGTTACCATTTCCAATCATAAAAAAATATAGGAATCTAGCAGAATCTAGCACCTATAATAAAAGCGAAAGCTCTAGCATCCCTGATATGATTTCTGAATTGACAAAGGACCAACAGCTTCATTTTCCATCCAGCTGATGGTTGCCTGCGAGTCCCTTTCCACATTTAAATTTTGATAACCCAATTATCTACCCAACATCAACCCTTGAATGGATAGCAACTTTTCTCTAATTGAGTTTCCAACACCAACAGCACACACGCTGTCTCTAAAGGACCCATCAAATTCCTTACTTGCCTGGGTTTCCATAACTGCATCCATTGAAATTCAATTTCATTTGGTTTTGTGGGTGGGGTAACTAGTCAGCAGCCTTACAGTTTCTTCTTGCTTATGTGGATGGATCCCGCTACTTACCTTCCTCCAATGATGCCATCCAGAGTGATTGTCAAATACTAGCCAAAATTAAATTTTAAACATGCATTTCAGCTGACTAATGTTTATCTAAATCCATAATAGTCACAACTTACAGTACCAGAATATCAACTTGTAGTTTATAGAAGTTGTTGTCCTCTAAAATGAGTCAGCTGACTAATGTTTATCTAAATCCATAATAGTCACAACTTACAGTACCAGAATATCAACTTGTAGTTTATAGAAGTTGTCGTCCTCTAAAATGAGCGCGCACACACACACACATCATATGAATATTTCTGTACTTCTGATTTTTCAGAGGGTTAGAGTTAGATGGAGACATTTTAGGGGAGTTAATCTGTTGTATATGTATTTCCTGGTCCCAATCTTGCACCATGTTATCTAGGAAGTGCTGTTTAGTTCCATAAGCATTTGCATCATTTTCCATTGACCCCCCTGCAATGCAGTCCTTCTCAGGTATTAATTTGATAATAACTTTTTGTGAATTCTTAATATGTAATTTGCATTTAATATAGTTGGATATTTTCATTCGTGAGATGTATTCACTTTTTCCTTAGCAAGCCATGTTGAAATATCCATTCTTGAAACAGTTGTTTTGCAGACAGGCAAGACAGTCACTACTGCATCTACTAATGCTGGTGGGAAATTTCTTCTCAAGATTGAGAAGCGCACTATAAATATGGTTGAACATGTTGAATCTGATTACTTATTGATAGCCAGTGGAAGTAGCCCACAGGTTTCATTCACTGTGCTCAATAAAAATGCCAGGCATGAGTCATGAGTTAAATGAAATTTCTGGATTGAGTGGATTTTATTATTGTCACAGGGTTACACTCTTGCCTCTCAGCTTGGTCATTCAATTGTAGACCCAGTGCCAAGCTTATTCACCTTCAAGATTGAGGACACACAGTTAGCAGAGTTGTCTGGGGTAACATTCTTCAAAATTCAGCAACATACTTTTTGTTCTTTGCAACATATTTATGGAAACAAGATATATGTTAGGTGGCTCTTTACCAGTTTACCTCCTTTTGAAGATTGGCATTCTTGTCTTTGATCAATTCATAAAAAATTTCAAACAGAAAATAAAAATGGAAGCTTTTAAATATGAGAGGAAAATAGATAGTTGCAACCTTTACATAATGAAATTCATACTAGTAGGCCCAGGCAAGTTAGTCCAGCATTGACAACTAGAATATGAGTGTATAAATGGTTGTGTGCTGAAGTTCATTTTAAATTGTTTCGTATGTGTCACAATGTAAATACTCTACAGTATCTGTTAATTAGAAGAGTCGATTGACTTGTCTATGTTTTCAGTTGCTAGTCACCCCTAATCTGTAACATGGCTGCTTTAGTACTTAAATCCCTTTTTTGTTGAGATTTTGATATAGCTCCCTTTGATTTTTAAATAATACCATCTTATATTCTTTATTGAGATCTGTGACTGGAAATTACACTAGTTTCATGGTAATACTAGTTGCGACTTGTTATCACTTTCATTATGGGTTGTACAATCATCCTCTTCTTTTCCTTGGAATGGATATATTAAATGACAAGAATGGATGCCACACTTGATCTTAGGGATGCTGTTGTTTTTTTTCCGGAGAATTTCCTAATCCATTTCTATAATTTCCATGCTCAGGTTACATTTAGCAAAGTTAAAGCAAAGCTGAAATTAGAAAGTATTGGAAGGCATATGCCACAACTTACACAGGCATGTCTGCTTATATTGCTTGGAAACCTCAGAATGTATGTCTTGCATTGTAACTAATACTTTATTGTTTTAGGTTGGTCCCATGTTAGTCACTCACTGGGGGCTTAGTGGACCAGTGATTCTCAGGTTATCTGCATGGGGGGCACGTGATCTCTTCGGTTCAGGTTACAAGGGTAAGTATGTTTTTGTACGTGCACCTGTCTGTTTTGGTTTATTCTATCCTTAAATGTTATGTTGTTTCCCATTAACAGTTTAACCTGATAATTTTTGGGTCCAAATGCAGGACTCCTACTCGTTGACTTCATACCTGATTGTCATGTAGATGAAGTGAAGTCTATTCTTATTCGACACAAGGATCAGTTTGCAGTTTAGTCTTATTCTCTCATGGCCTACATTAGCTGCAAATGCTTTCTGTGGATTCTTCTAAATTTGATAGGATGGTTTCTTCTATTGTTCTCTTTCTTATTTTTCCTCCATTTTTTTAACCTTTCTCTTGTCCAACAGCAATTTTTGTTGGGCTATCGTGCACAAAACTTGAAAGTTTAACCATCTTTAGCTCAATGTTGCGTGAACTCTCCCAAGTGGATGGCATATCTGTGTCAGACGTGCATCAGAGTCATGGATTCTTGAGGATGCTTCTAGTAACTTTTACTTTCTATCCCTTGGCTTTTTTGACATGAACAGATAATGTACAAGATGGATATCATTTTTCATATCAAATGTGATTTAGTAACAAAGGCAAATGTTTTTGCATGTATATAATGTTAGATTAAAAAAATATGAACTATTTTAATAGCATATACTTTTCCATATGTGTGTTTGCAAGTCCATGTTTACTCATCTTGTCGAGTCAAAGTCTTGGACATGCATCAAATTCTGACTCCCATGTCTGTGTTCATGCAACATTAGTTTAGCTTCTCATGTATATATTGATATGCTAGATATATGCTATTTTATAAATCTATATATTTTAAAGTTGAATACCCTCTCTCCTCTGTGTGTGTGTGTGTGTTGAAGGACCTCTTCTATAATAATAAATTTGATATGAGAGAGTTCTACGTTCATTTATTTGGAATTCCCAGTTGTCTATTCTGTCAAATAATCTCTCCTTCCTCCTTCAGTATCATTCTGTGATATTGCTTCATAGAAAGTTATCGAGTGTCAGGGTGCATATTTTGTTTACTAATAAACTCGATGCAACAAGTAGTTCTGTATTTTCTACCTATAGTCTTGCATTTTCTTGTTGTCTGCCAGTTTATTTTTTCGATCTCATCTAGGGGTGCAAGTTGGGTACCCGATTTGAGGAGATTTTACACTGCATTGGGCCCCGGCTTCTGGGTTGGGCCCATTCAAATTTTATTCAAGTTTTAAGAAAATCCCAACCTGACCTTGCTCAAGTTGCATCCCCTAATCTTATCTCATTTAATGAAGTTGTCTTTACCTTAATCAATTTTATTCACCTGATGGTCTCTTTTGGTTTCTGAGTTACTTCATTTTGCCCCTTTTTTTTGTGAACTAACAAGTGTTAGAACCTTTTCAGAAGCAAAAGGCTCTTAATTCGTTCCCTCTAGAATTTGGCCTGGTGAAGAGATTTTGGAAATATATATTGGAACGTGAGGTCATGAGTCACTTTTTCACTGATGCATACATTTGAGCTCTCATTTGGATATTAATCTTTTTTGTATTGTGATGGAATAACTCATTTCATGGTTCATATGCAGGGTTTAAGTGGAGATTTATTGTGGGCATCCATTCCAAATAATTCCTTGGTTTCAGTTGCTTCACTGCTGAAGCAGTGTTCTTTTAGAGTGGTGGGAAAGGTATGTCTCCAACCTTCACTTCTACTTATCTGAATCCTCTGTGATTTATAAGGGAACAAAAAGTCATATCACAATTTTCAATGAAGGGCCAATTCAAGGATGAATTTGTGACTGCTGGAGGTGTCCCACTATCAGAGGTTTCACTCTTACCACTGCATGTTCCTCATCCCTATCCTCTCTCTCACTAGTCCTTGCATGCGTATCTGCCATTTTTTTTCTCTGGGTTTCCCTCTCTGCTAGTTTCTTTCCTCTGAACATGTAACTTTTGACTCCCTTTATGAAGGTCTCATTGAACACAATGGAAAGCAGGATACAACCACATTTATTCTTTGCAGGAGAGGTAGTATTCCTTCCTGACACGATCAAACATGTTACTTCGCTTACTTGTTACATGATTTTAAAAGTTGGAAGTTTCTGTAGGTATTGAATATTGATGGAGTAACTGGTGGTTTTAACTTTCAGGTAATGATCCAAAATTAATTTAAGGGTCAGGAACAGTTTCCTGTAGATAAATAAGTGAACTATATGAAATACTATCTTAATTTTTTTTATGTTCTTTTGAACCTTTTATGTTATTTGAACATGTTACTTGGATATGCTTTTATTGCTGCTAATAATTCGTTGGACATTATATTACCCTGGGTCTGCTTTTCAAATTTCAAATCTGCCAATTTTATTAGACTTGGTTACTTTTGATCATCATATGGTCCATCTAATACAAACTGGACAATTTTTTTAGGTCATTCATGAAGGTTGATTCGTATTTGTTTTATAATGGAATTTTATTATGGTTTTTTTGCAGAATGCTTGGTCAGGCGGTTATATTGCAGGATCAAGTATAGGTAAACTAGCATTAAGTGCTTCACTGAAAGAGGAAGCTGTATCATGAAAACATTCACATAATTTGGCCCAACCAGCAGCTGAATTTTTTGAAAGGAACATTGTATATATGGTAGCAACTAGAAATGAGTAGATATATTCGGGAACCTAGATGTTGCCCTTTTGTAATTTAGGTAATTTAGTTATGTGCATGGAAGAACCACCTACGCAACAAAAAAGAGAAATTTGAGGGTTCTAAATGAAGCGGTTGAAGTGGCAAGAAATGGGTCGCAATTTAATTGATACTTCTTTAGAAGTGGAGTGGTAAACCAGAATTACTGTAACGATTTCAAAGAGTTGAGCAATACTTTTTCAAGATGAATTAGAGTATTAGAGCCCTCATCCTGCACCCCTCTCTTATACTGCAGTTTGTTTGAATATTCTATGCGAAAGAAGGGCCCATGCAACAGTCTATCTGATACTGATAGGACATTACTTTTATTTTAGCTACGAATATAGAATACTCACCCATGCCACTTCCTATCGATCCGAGTTGGATCCACTGCACTTCCGCACATGCCTTCAGTCTACGGCAGGTGTCCCATTCAACCTGTGGATCCCACCTTGTCCCTTTGGCAATGTGGAAAAGCATACACTATTTGCACTCAATATATCATTAGTTCATTACTGCTTTCTTTGCAATGCAAATCTTAACTGGATACAAATTTCCCACCCGGTTCTGTTTGGCATCTGATTGCAAATGATTTTGACTCGTTGATACAGAATCTGCTATACTTTTTTTTGTTTCATTTGCATTTACGTACACTAGGAATTTTTCATCTCAGAAACTGATGCAAAATTAGCACCACCTTTCTTAATTCATATGGTTTTTTTTTGAAATTTAACACAACACTTAACTTTTTCATCTTAAGTGGAAATCCCAGCTAACATGCCAACTGAGCCACCACTCAGTTGGGACAACATGGTTTGTTTTGTACATCATTTGCAGTTTTACACTGCCCACAAACTGAGCCTTCCGTTTGTGGATGCATCTGCCAATGCACAGTTGGGATGTGAGGACAGGCTCCACGGGGAGTTTCATAAAGAAGGTTGCATACTATGGCTTATGGGAGTTGGGCACCGTCCTTATAGGTTATAGCACTTGCAACCGCACAATTGGGGACATCTTGACTTAATGAACGGCTGCAAATTCTGTAAAATGGATGTGAGACCACTCTTTGACGAGGAAAATCCGGTTCTATACGTTTTTTCCGACATGCTTGTATAACAAAAGAAAAAAAAAGGGGGGGGTATTGGTGGAATCAGTGGGAGGCCCCCAGTCCCAACAAAATGTTGATGTAACGCTCGTTTTTTTATGCCACGGTTGGAGTCAACTGTCAACAGAACAGATAGGCAACAAAAACAAAACAATTGAAGTGACAGCCTGAAACTACCATCTATGTGACTTTGCCCAAATTTTTACGACAAACGATGTCAGGTGTTGCATGGGAGGCTGTGAACTTAGCACTTGAATTCCCATTCCCATTCCCATTCTCACTTGAAAATGTTTGAATTTCTTACCCGTCCAATTCCTTACCTTACCGTCCACTTCATTTATTGACACGTAATCAAGTTGTACGTCAGTTCAGTCGGCTTGCTAATAGAAGGAGACTCGACAATGTCATCGAGCTAAATTGCGAACTGTGGCAGTCTAGTCATCCCAGACGTCTGGTATCTTGCAAAAAAGAATGAACCTATCCATGCAAAACTAGAGTTCAGATCTGCGCCCCACCAGGGGGCGTCCCACGGCGCATCTCCGCTTTGTATTGGGAATATCTCTCGATGACGATATCATTGGATTCAATACATGGCGGGGATGCGCTGTGAAACATTGTGGGGCGCAGATGTGAACTCGCAAAATCAACCATGAACCACCATTTTTTTTAACACGGAATCAAAATGGAGCTACCACCTATGAATTGGGTTATTGGGTTCGTAATTTTTTATTTTTAAAGTAAAATTTTAAATTCTATGTAATATCAGTCATACTTCTAATTGACAATAATATTCCAAATTCAGGATTTTTTCACATTTTATTTTTCTTCAATGTAACACCAATCAAATTGAAGTGTTGTATGATATGTGTTGCATCTTATCAATTCATCACCGTGCCACATCGGATGACATGCAAGTGCTATATCAACTAAAACATTGTGAGAGGTAATGGCTATTGGGGAAAACCTCAATTTGGTGTTTCCTCCAATGCCCCCTAGTTGCTATTTTCAAACAAAATGTTTTTTTTTTTTTACTGTTTTGAGTTAAAATAGTCTCAAGTAAATAAAAAAAAAAATTCCTATTGCAATTCAAAATGCCTGGGTGGTGCTGATGTCTCAGGATTTCAGCTGAAAATGGCAATGATACCAAATATACCCTAAGTGAGCTAAGTGATCGAACTTCCTATATAAAAAGCTAAATTAAGTTCTTAGTCTTTTGTAAAAGCCAAAGGCAAGACCAGTGCAATGAAACTTCATCTTGAAGGGCTGAACCACAGAAGGGAGTCTGAACAGATGGGGATATGCCCTGACAATAATTGTCTTGCAAAGTATGGTTTTTAAAACTGAATTGGTCAGGGGTCCGGTTACCGGTTTGAACAGTCGGCCCGTTCTGACAAAAAAATGGTCAAAACCGTTCAAATGATTAATGGCCAGTTCAGCGATTTACTGACCAAAATCAACGGTTTTGAGAAAAAACAGAACTGATCAGATGACCGGTTCCGATTTTTCCAGTCCGGTCCAGTTTTGAAAACCATATTGCAAAGGAAATGCCTTGATAGATAGCCCAGAGTTCAGCCTCTTCCACAGATCCTCGCTTTTCATCTTACCACCTGGCACCTACCACCCCCAAGCAGGAAAGGGAGTTAGATAAACATATTGCTCCAAAAAGTACAGGTTTCACAAATAATAGACCCCCCATCAGAAAATAAAATAAGTTGAATATGGGGTTCAACAAGAAGAGGGAAACTTTGTTGAGGATCTGCAGGTGTAGAAACTTCGTAAAAAGAAATTGAGATGGAAATAAAGAAATTGTTAACCCGCACAATAATCCAATTAATAGAAACTTGATGGTCTTTAAAACATTTTGCATTACGAGCACGCCAAATATAGTACAAAGCGAAGGAGAAGAATACACTGGGCCCATGAATCTTGGAATATTCAGGGGGCCGCAAATTACACAATTTTAGAAAAAGGGCAGTTAAAGAAAAGATGATTCATTGATTCCACACCCTGATCACAAAGACCACACTACATTTCTTTAAGGATCAGAAAAAAAAAAAGTTTCTCTTTTACAGGGATAATGTTATTTATACCCTCCACAGAAAGAGTTGATATATCTAAATGGAATAGGGAGTTTTCAGATTGTAGTATAACATTTTCTCTGACTGTCTGAAATTAGATTGGCAGAGTGTTGGATCATCCTGAAATAAGTGTATTTAATTGAAAATTTTCTTGAAGGATGTCCTAACCAGATCCAAGATGAGGAAAGTTCCTAAGGATGGATCCAAATACATGGTTGGATGTATTGTGCGGGTAGGAATGGCAATAGGGCAGGGCAGGGCCGGGTTATGCCTGTTCCGTTCACAACCCTGAACTCAAATGCCCACCCCAATGGGGTTAGAAATCCTAACCCCATAGGAAATAGGGATTCCCGAATTTGCCCCGCCCCCACCCTAGTCATCCCTACTTGTATACATCTAATTTTATTTATTTTTATTTTTTAAACCTAAACTATCTGGGAGGGGAGAGGCCCCATGGGGACAGGTCAAATTGCCATTTCTAGGTGTGGGGCGCCCGTGTGATGTAGATGCGAATTCTAGTAGTTGGAACCAAATTGTTGTTCTTAATTCAGCCCACTGATTAGTTCCATGCATTTTCCTTTTCCAATTTAATCGAAGAAACCATGCAGATCAGCCAATCAGTCTAGTTGAACATAACCTATGTCTTGGCCGATTCAATCATATCCCATGATCTAAAATTGCTAAAAATTCAATAAAAATCAGCTGATTGGTTGGTTTATCAACCGGGTTCGACTATGATATGGAAAATATATGATATCCGTAAAACAACTATCAATAAACTGGAATCATAAACATGATAACTAATAAAGTGTCATTGTTCAAAATTCATAGATGGGTTTTAATTGGTCAAAACTCTTTCCATACCATATTTTTTCCGCATCATAGATTTTCCCTTACCAAAAAGCCAATAAACAGTTTCAGTTTCGTGAAACTACGTGGATCATTAAATAATTGCAATTTTAAAATACATGCAAGAATAGTTGAATATATGACATTTTATTTTTATGTATGCTTAATTACCATTAGTTTTTTCTTAATCTATATTATTTAATAAATCTCTATTCTATATATTAAWTTATCATAAATGTATTTAAAAATATAAATTAAAGGAGCATATATTTTTATATATTAATTTATAAATTCCACCACTATATTTTAGTATGATAAAATTTATAAAATATGTTATATAATATTTATGCGATCCATAATACACATGAGTTCGATCTATGATTCAATAGTTCAATACTTGCTGAATATTTGGCTAAAAAAAAACTTATTGAATATCACATGAGGTTCTCTCATTTTTTGGTTTTATGTAGGACCCAATTCTCTGAGCATAACAGAGAAAATAATAATTCAACACATCAGAATTCGCAACATCCAAAATGGAACCAGTTACTGGTTCGATGTTCCACATTCCCATGCCACCCGAACATCCAACATTGGACAAAAGAACCCGGATCTACCATTAACAATTCGCTACGGACACAACCGCTTCAACATGTTTTGTAGCCGCACATCGGTACTCACAAGACATTGATCGCTTGTTCTTGTACTTCTGGCTTTTGAGTTGGGCACACGCTCCTGTTTGACATGCGTTGGAAAGGAATCTGGATCTGCTGGGCACTAGACGCTATCCATTCAACTCTCAACATCTCAAACATGTTTCGTAGTTCGTACTTGTACGTTGAAAGCTGTGTGGATGGCAAATCCAGATTATTGGAGAAAAACAATGAGCACGTGATTCTCTTGAATGGAACCAATCAAACCAGGTAATATCCCGGATCCTGACTCTCCAGTCTCCACGATAGTCATGCGGCTATACACAGGTTCGGGTTACCGGGCTCGGGGCTGCCCATATATAGGCTTGTATGATTGTATCTCACGAACGAATCTTTACGGGTTCAAGGATGATTCAGTAGAATTTTTCGTACGAAATGATCAACATTTGATTGGTCCCCCCATCCCATCACTAGGAAATCCAGAAGCAGCAAATGGAGAAGATAGCGTAGCTGGAAACCGGAACTGGCTTACAGTCTAGCTTATCAAAAGCTGTACTTAGATGATGTCGTTCGATAAATGATGGCATGTGCATCCCCCTATGCCAATGACAGCCAAAGCTTCACAACCTCGTCTCTACCCTATTCCCTAGCAGATATACACATCTGTCCAATCCGTTATCACTACCGAGGATGCGATCCGCCCCTGTTTGATACGGGTTTTCTGTGCCCCTAACCGGGCCAGTGTCGGGTCGAAACTGGAAAGTGTCAAACTCGTGATGGACTCGGATCGTTTTCTCAACACACAACAGTCGAGATGCTTGAATTACCCTTGTACCCTACAAGGGTAATGAAACCTCCACCGTAACACAAGGAAAAAAAAGGCGTGCATTAGGCTGAATCACAGCAAATCGGAGGCATGCGCGTAGATGAGTCGGTCCCTCAACTCTCGAGAATGAACAAGTTCTCTGAGAAACTTTTATAAGGGACCTTTATTCAAATGGTTGGTGGACGCATGAGGCAACCGTGTAATGGTTTTGCTGTTAATTTGCAGAGCAACTCAACTCATCATCATCTCGTGTTCACGGATATTAGAACAAACAAATAGCTTTTTGCGCCCACATTGAGCGGCTCGCCAGGGTATAAAGTTGTGCATGGGAAGGAGGATATCATCATTTCTTCACGGCTGCCTCACATGGATATGGGCAATGACATTGCGGAGTTGTTGAAAAAAAAAAGATTATATACCTTCTGGGTTGTTGATTAAAAAAAAGCGAGAACAAAGAAAGCTTTACATTTTCTAATTCCCATTTGATTCGTGAGTACGGCGAGTGTTGGCTCGCGGGTTGCTAGTGAATTAGGTGGGGATTGAAGGAGGTCAACTGGTAGACGATGACGATTCGCCTTCTCTGCGTCATTATGTTTCTTAGGTTGGAAATCGACTCTCACCCATAATCAACATCTACCTACTAAAGGATTGGACCCGTTACATCACCAACATGCACCAGGTTAAGATTATGATGAAATGTTTGTTGTACGACCCAAAGTTCAAACTACGGACATGAGTATTTGCAGTTATTTTCAGGGGGGGGGGGCAAGAACCAGGAGCAGAAAGGGAGAAAAAGATAAAAAGGAAAAGGATGGGAGATGCTTGGGTATTTGCATCTTCTTTTTGGCGTTTGCTCTCAGATGCCGTTTGGGGAAGGGAAGCCGCTTGGGCTGGAATCATAAAAGCTCACGATAGGTGGTCTGGTGGTGTAGCGGAGACCTGAAACGAAGTCACCTCGTTTTGGTTTGAAATGAACTCATTTACGCTACTCTCTTTAACAGCCGGATGATGGTGTTGTGGGTTCAATTGCCACGAGAAAACGTAATGAAATCATTTCATATCATGTGGCTAGCTACCAAACATGAATCAATCCAAATTGATGCATCTACGTCCTCTTCCTCTGTGGATTGAATGGGAAAAAAAAATTAACATGGTTTTAGGGGTGTGGTATCCAATTCCAATGGGGTTGAGAAGGTGGTTGATGCCTTGATGGATGAAGATGGAGTAATTGTTGACTGGAGTCATCAATTGAACAGTTAGTTGTATTGGTTCATTTGGTTGTGCGTCACAATCAGCCAACTCTGCAATGACATCTGGGTAAGGTATAAATGAACCCATTCACCTGTGGGACCCATATGTTTTGGGAACCATACCTTTGAGGGTTAGTTTATTTTAGTTGCTGAGGAGGAGAACCAGTCCCTCAGTTCAATCGATTTGCAAATAATAAATGGGTCAGTTTTGGATGAGATCAATGCCAAGCTACCAACCACAACCGGGAATGGTTTTTGGAAAATGACTTTTTTTTTTGTTTAATTTCGTGTGAATTAGGAGTAAAAGATACTTGGTATGAGAATAAAACGCGGTGGAAAATAAAATACCCTTAGTTGCATTTAATTAAAGGAGAGGAAGATGTGTGAGTTGTTGTCGTTCTCTTTTTTGGGTTAGGCATTAAAATTTATTGTTTCTCGCCAATAAAACACCCTCTCCCCAAACAGTCCACATCTCAGTCTCATATTACCTTCATGTACCATGCAGAGACTCTCCTTCCAAATACCATTGTGAATAAAAGAGATTGTCTCCTTAACTGGCTGATAGAACTGGTCAGTCATTTAGACAGCTCAATCCGGCCAGCACATGGTCAGATTTTTGGGTTTCCTATTTAACCTTTGTTTTGCTTACTTGCACAAAATCATTGACTCGGTCAACCATTTGATGGTTCGGGTGGTTGAATAAAACTGATGATTAATTCAATTACGGTGCATTCTGAACATTTATTTACTTTTCATTAGTTCATATTGATCATTTATTTACTTTATTTCTTATTTAAGTTTTTATTTTTCTTTTCATGGTGTAATTCATGCAACGTAGATTTTACCTTCAATTTGAATTTAATTTGATTAAAATATCAGTATAATCCAAATTAAATAAAAATGGCATTAATTCACAATGTTAAGTATAGAAGAAAAAATGTATGTTATAATGAAAAAAGATAAATTTATCCAAATGAAAAATTCAACTTAACTACACACACACAACTTGGATCGGAACAGCTTAATATTGAATAAAKCAAATCCTGATTTGATCTGACTAATAAGTGGATTTTTTTCCTTTTCGAGATCCAGTTGCGATTAAATGGATATCCAAATCTGACATAAAATGAATTAGTTTCAAATTTGAAATGGATTAAATCGAACCCACTTGAAGCATCATGGTTGAACTGTTAAATTGTTTTATATAACAAAAATATTCATTTACCATTGCTATTTAATATGATGAATATATATATATATATATATATATGTATATATATATATATATTATAATATTACCGATTGATCTAGATGATTAAACCATTGGCTGCCACCAGGATGGAAAAGCAATCCCATCTTCGAATTGATTTTTAGAATACTGTTAGCAAATGCTTTAACATCACCAAACAATTCCTATTAATTATCAGTTTATCACGCACGCCACTCACTTTACCATGGTCCATGGAGTCACGGACTTCATATTCTCTCCATGGTCAAATCACGAGAGAAGAAAGCTGTTTTGGTTGAAAGCTTTAAGCCTAACTACAGTAAAGCAGTTCAACCATTACTCACAAAGTTTCAAAATCATGAAAAAGAAACGAATTCAATTACTCGGGGTGTAAACAATTTTTGATCCGATCCATATAACCACTGGAACCGGAGTCTCCAGTTGCATTGGAGGATATCGAGTCATACGATTATTTGCCACATCATCTTACCACGTGGGATCCACATACATGGAGTGGATAAGAAGGTGAGATTTATTGAGGCTCCGTTTGGTTTGTGGGATGGGAATGAGAAAAAAGGAATATTTCAAAAATATTCCCTTTTCTCATATTTGTTTTGAGGGAAAGAGGGAGATGGGATGTGAGATCTCAAAATTGTGAATTTGGGGTCACACCAAAATAGTGCGACCCTGATGAGAAAACTTGAGTTATGATCTCCCTCCTCCCTCCTCCCTCCCTCCTCTCGTAAGGTGGCAATGATGTCAAAGCACGACCATGTCGGTGGGATTGTCGTCGTCAGAGTTAGAAGAGCACGACCATGCCAAAGGTAGCAGCGACGACAATGTCAATGTCGCCGATCGTGACCATTCGAAAGTTTAGGTAATAACTTTCGAGGAGACCATTTGAGACGAAGAAGAAGTTACAGTGGCAATCAACGTTGTCGATCACAACCATTCGAAAGTTTAGGTAATAACGTCGTCGATCGCGACCATTCGAAAGTTTAGGTAATAACTTTCGGGAAGATCATTCGAAACGAAGAAGAAGAAATTACAGTGGCAATCAATGTTGCCGATCGCGACCATTCAAAAGTTCAAGTAATAACGTCGCCAATTGCGGCCATTCGATGTCAACGTCAATGTTGCCTCGAGGCCATACAAATTACAATTGCAATCAGGAATAAATAGAGAGGTTGAAACTAAAAGAAGAAGAAGAAGAAGAAGAAGAAGAAGAAGAAGAAGAAGAAGAGAGGAGAAAGAGAGTGGGAGATGAAGGGGGTAATCGTCGCCTGACTCGCCTCTATTTGTCTCAGATGAAGAAGGAAGGTGAACAATGCCATTTCAGAGGTGGGAGATGAAGGGAGTAGCTGTCGCCTAACTCGCCTCTGTTGGTCTCAAACGAATGAGGAAAGTGAACAATACCATTTCAGTCCTCTTTTACACTTTTCTATCCCATTCCATTATTTTCCATCTCATCCGAATCTTCTTACAAATCAAACGGAGCCTGAAGGAAATGGAGAGGACAGTGGAGGTTGGAGTTGAGGTTGACGGATTGTATCCCAGTCCGGCTGGACTGGTCCGACCCGAGAGAACACGTTGTCAAGGAATTTTAATCATTACACGGAGTATCTTTAAGCATAACTTGACCCATCAAACACGCTACGTTTCTGCTTTCTTATTTTCCCAAAAAACAGACGGTACATTTTCCATAATGACGTAATGATTAGATTAAGATATTAATTAGAATAATTAAGATACCAAACTAAAGGCCTTAAAAAAAATTTAAAAATCCTTTCTGACCATCGAATCCGGTACGTGTGGTGGGGAACCGGTTACCGGCCGGATATTCCTCCTCCCGAACTCGATGAGTCGTTGTCCATCGAGGGCATTTTAGTAAATGCAGCAGTTCCACGTGTTATAATTTAAAAATGATTTATACGATCAGCCAATAAAGAATGACATAAATTACTTGTAAATAAACAAATTTTTAAGAAGCCAGCGGACAGCCTTTTTTTCATTTTCCTTTTTCAACCCGCGTTTCGTGACTTTCGTCTCCGCCGGAGAGTGGTCGTGCCATGCCCGGCAGCACCACCCCCCATCATAAACAGCGGAAGACGACAGGAGAGAAAAGGGAAAAGCGGGCCTCGTAATACTCACAGTAGAAGGAGAGACTTTTGTTTTGTGGGGTGTGGCGTGGTTCTTCGTGAGCTCTCTACATGGGCAACTGTTACGCTTGTGTGAGAGTACTAAGCTCGGAAGATGACAAAACGTCAAAGAAGAAAAAACGAAGAAAGAAGGGACGGAAAGGACGGAAAGAACGAAGGCCCAATCCTTTCGCCGAAGACCCTATTCGGTCGCCGGCACCGATCCGGGTCCTGAAAGACGTTGTCCCACTAGGCCACCGCACCCGCATCGGTGACAAGTACGTACTGGGTCGCGAACTCGGCCGAGGCGAGTTTGGTATCACCTACCTCTGCACTGATAGAGAAACCAAGGAGGCATTGGCCTGCAAATCCATCTCCAAAAGAAAGCTAAGAACGGCAGTCGATATCGAAGATGTTCGCCGGGAGGTTGCCATCATGTCCAGCCTCCCTGACCATCCTAACGTCGTAAGGCTTAAAGCTACTTACGAAGACAACGAGGCTGTGCACCTGGTTATGGAGCTTTGTGAGGGTGGAGAGCTCTTCGATCGGATTGTGGCGCGGGGACACTACAGTGAGCGTGCAGCTGCTAACGTGGCCAGGACTGTTGCGGAAGTTGTAAAGATGTGCCATGAGAATGGAGTCATTCACAGGGACCTTAAGCCCGAGAATTTCCTGTTTGCAAACAAGCGAGAGAACGCTCCTCTTAAAGCAATTGATTTTGGGCTCTCTGTGTTCTTTAAACCTGGTCTGTTGTCAAATTTGCTGTTTAATTTGAGGGTTCTTTTTCATGGTTTTGGTTTCAAAATTTCAGTTGTTCAATAGCTTTGGTTGGTTTATTGAACAGGGGAGCGGTTCTCGGAAATTGTGGGAAGTCCGTATTATATGGCGCCTGAGGTGTTGAAGCGGAATTATGGACCGGAGGTTGATATCTGGAGTTCTGGGGTGATTTTGTATATTTTGTTATGTGGGGTTCCTCCGTTTTGGGCTGGTATGACGGTCTTGGATTTTGTCGAGAGTCGTAAAAATTTTAGATGAATTCGGTTGCTAGCTTGCAGGATTTCATGTTTTTTCTTCCTTATTTCCTTTTCTTAATTGTTTGTTTGCTGCAGAAACTGAACAAGGTGTCGCCAAGGAAATCCTGCGAGGTGTTATTGATTTCAAGAGGGATCCATGGCCTAGGGTTTCTGAAAGTGCGAAGAGTCTTGTCCGTCAGATGCTGGAGCCAGACCCGAAAAAGCGTTTGACTGCTCAACAGGTGCTCGGTAAGTCAATTTACGGAGTATGGTACGGACTCGGTATTCGAAGAATTCATGGATGTTGTCTTCGATAGATTATACTCTGTTTGAGACTGCCCGCCTATTGCATTCCTAAATCTGCAAATCACTTGCGTAAAACACAGACAGTAAATGGTGCATTTACATTTCCCTTGGTTTTGATCTATAGCTTACTTTTGGTGGGCCATCTTGAATGAGACCAGACCAACCAGAAACTGAGCGGAAGAATATATTATTTGTCTGGTCCCAGCAGATGTTTTGGAAATTAGATTTATGGAATGGAGAAAAGGCCATTTATCGAGCAGTTAGAGGCATCTAAACCATCCAGTTATGGACTTGCCCAGAATACGAGAGGATTGAGCAATAAGTTGGTCAGAGAGCTCAGGGGCTAGGAGCACAAAATTGGTTGCACCATTACATTTAATTATTTATTTAATGTACTTCAATTCAGTTTACCCATAAATAGTGGCTTTTGCGTTGGTAGTTTCATCTTATAGATGGTCACAAAAAATTCCTTTGATGTCTATGGTCAAACCATTTAAAATTATGCATTTATAGGTGAAGGGATGATGTTTCTAACTGCTCTCATTGTTTAAGGTGGTATTTGGTACCATTGCTGTTTCCTTGTAGTGTTGCCACCAATGGTGGTAAGAAATGCCTAAACAAACAAGAAATGCTATATAGTGTTTCTACATCTGCTTAGGTGGCAGCAACACTAYCAAACATGATACATCACTGTTTTCTCAGAAAACGGTCTAGTGTTGTTGCATGGACGGTTACTAGCAACGTGCTGCATCAGGAAACATCGAATAGGATGTTTTCATATATAGGAAGCAGGTTTCACAATTTTCCAGGTGAGGTGTTTTCCCAATGTTTTCTCAAAAAATCCCCAATCAAACAATACTTTTGACTGCTAAGGTTGAAATGCTTTTCTGGTGCCAATGTGGCACCGTTTTTTGGGAAAATGGCAGTGGTGCCAAAGATAGTCAAGTACTTGGGCTTTTCTTGTGCCTCTCACTTTTAAAACAGTGAAGTGAATCTTGACTGAGTCGGTGCACAAATGCACATCAATAAACAATATTACACAATGTACATGAAGACAATAAAGGAGCATAATTATTATTATGGTGAGATGTTGAAAAACTCAATTGCTAGTTATGAATTATACTTCTTTTGAGATAAATTACCAAATTTTCTATTCCTTTTACCCTTTGGCAGAACATTCCTGGCTGCAAAATGCAAAGAAAGCACCCAATGTTCCGTTGGGAGATATTGTTAGGACAAGACTTAAGCAATTCTCTGTGATGAATAGATTCAAAAAGAAAGCCATGCGGGTTAGTGTGTAATATCAATGATTTAAATGGCATCTCAAGTTCTGATATTTATGTGTAGATGTGTAGTTAAATTAATACATGCAACTGATTTTGATGTCAATAAAAATACCATAGGTAATAGCAGAGCATTTATCTGTTGAAGAAGTGGAAATCATTAGAGATATGTTTAAACTAATGGACACTGACAACAACGGAAAAATAACATACGAGGAATTGAAGGCTGGGCTTCAGAAAGTTGGGTCTCAATTAGCTGAACCAGAGATGAAATTGCTGATGGAAGTGGTAAGTTCTTTCATATTATTGATCAAACTTGGGGTGTTAGATGCTTCATTTACTATGTCTTCTTCCTTGGTTTTTCTTTGCTTGATTATCATAGCATATTAGTGTGTAGTTTGGACTTTATGAGGTAAAGATGAAAATTGTGTTCTCTGTTTGGTTCTCCAGTGATGTTTCTCTTATATCCATCATCACTTTGCATTCCTCATATCATGTGGATGTTTCTGTTTTTTCCTTCATTTATTTATTTCCCAAATATCTATAATACAGTTATCCTAAAAATTTATTTGAGAACCAGCATCTGAAGAACTTCTTAATTTTTTGGGCAATATGATCAACAATGAGAATTTGCAAACTAATACATTGTTTGGTCAATGGAAGGTTGTAGCTGCCTTATAATTGTTAAAATCTTATGATTTTATGATATAATTCATGATTCAAATCATGAATCCCAAGGATTCCAATTCAAATCTTATGATTGAATCCTTTTTCTGAACAAATCTCACACTTATAGTTTAAATATTATGATTCAATTGGTGAATCTTGTGATCAATCTTACTGATAAAAAGTCTTGTGATTTGTCTGATTCATACTACTAGAATGAATTTGGTCAGATCCAAAATTTGTAGTTTGTCGTTTCTTTATGTTTTTAATTTTTCAAGGGGCCTTTGTTTCAAAATTCTTAATACAGTAAGTCATATTTGGGTTATTTAAAGGCTTTTTGAAGTCCTTTCAACTTTATTTTTCTTCATGTGTTTGTGAAAGAGCCGTTATGTTATGGTTTCTAGGCAAAATGTATATTGATCATATCATACTACACATATTCTATATGGAGTATAATTACTTGTATGGCAGTGTATTCAAAGTGCTAAAATCATTTTGTTATATTTAAGTTTTTAGTATTCATCATCATCTAAGCCTTTAGAAAACAGAGATAATCCTAGGATATACGTTTCATTTGATTCAACCTTCTCTATGATTTATACAGTTATGATTTTCAAATAATTGGTTATGTGAATAATAAATGAACAAATAGCTTCATGGTGTGAAAATATATAAAAAAAAAGCTAAAAGCTATAAATTCTAAATTTCACTATAATTTAGTTTATCATGGTACATTGGTACTGACATTTCCAAGCTACTGCTTTCTCTGACTTGTAAATTTCCATGATTCTGATGTAGATTTCAATGTCATCGACATTTGAATACAGAAATGAGTAACTTATGTATTACACCAGGGTGAATTTTGTGTCCTGATCAATAGGGATTTTGGGTTTTCCAGACTTAAGAATTGAAACTTTAGACAGGTAGTCCGGGGCTTAGATAGACTTTGGTTTATTCTTATATTTATTTGTTTTTGCTTGGCCCATCTGGTACCTTAGTTGGGGTTCTTTTCTTGCAAACAAACTTGGATGTCAGTGRACAGAATATACTTTCATTTTGCTCTTTCAGATTGGTATGGAGATCTTTTAGTTAGTCCAGYTGGAGGGCTGGAGAGGGAAACTTTACATCAAGGTATTTCATGGACCCCAAAATTTAGGAGAAACGCGAACAACTGGGAGATTGAATAACTTGCTCCAATGCTGCAAAAAAGTTCAAGAAAACAACCCCAATCAAGCGATTGCAGAATCTGAGTATGAGAAACTGATGATAAATTTACTGTCCAATCTTTCTATAAGAATACTAGCAGAAGGGTACATGCTTCGCACGTATAACTTTTGTTTTGTGCATGGATCATTAAAAAGGTTAAATACAGTACCATTTTACAAAAATTATCAGAGCTCTTTCTCTTGTAAATTTTGATTTTCCATTGTTTCCTAACCTGGATTCGGTTAAGTTCTGCTGATGGTAACATTGAAGGGTTGGAACTTGATCTTCGGAGAAGAAATTGCAAAGTTCCTCAGCACCAAAGAAGTTGTGTTCTTCCATATTCAATAACAGGTGCTGATACGCTTTTTGGGGACATGTTGAAGCAGTCCTCAAATGTAGAGTAGTTGAATTTTAGGGAAGATGAAGCCAGTAAAATCAGTAATTGAGTTGCTGAAAAATACCCAGATGAAGAAATATGTTGGGAGAGAGAGAGGGGGGGGGGGAGGGGCCAAGCTGCCAACTATTTTGGTGGGTGGATGCAGATCCATGATCCATGCATAACACCACTTTTGACAGAAAAACAGAGAGAAGGAAACAAGAGAGCGACAATGAAATTGAGATTGGAATTCATTTGGGTATTCTTGGGAATAGAAAATTTGATCATCGACCAAAAACGTCGAGCATGAAACTCTCTTTTTATATAGTAGATAGATTAGGACAGGTTGTGTGGATAGGTGGAGGAAACAGCAGATCATGTATCTCTATAGTGTGCTTGTTGTTCAGTGTTACAGACATATTTCCTTGAGGTGTTTGGGGTCTGTTGGTATTTTCCAGCATTGGTCAGGGAATTACTTAGTCGCTGGCAGATTTGAGTTTGCAAGAAAGAGAAACTAATATGGAGATTGGTTCCACATATGATAATATGGTTCATATGGGCTGAGAGAAATGCCCAAGTTTTGAGAACACGAGGAAAACACCAGAAGAGACTCAAGGATGAGCAGAAGTTTCCATCAAATCATGGTTATCGATACATGGGGAGTTCAAGGAAGGCTGATTCACAGAACTTTCAAATCATACAGTTTTGTATGATCCTACACTGCATAAAATGTTTTCGTATCTTCCTTCCCCTGATGTATGGTCTCTTGTACTATAGACAAGTTAAAGGCCATTACCCAATGTTGGTCCCAGCTATCTGGTGTCTTGTGAGGGGTAGACTGGATAAGGTGCTTTTTTTGCACAAAGTGGCTGCTCTCAGACTCAAGCCTACCTTCTCACACTCTCAGGTTATTTAGCACAGATGCCTTTCTGAATGATATACATTACGACTTACCATTTCAATAAAGAAATCTTTTCCTGATGTTTCTATGATACATTTTATGTTCCTACTTCCTTTATTGTAATGTTTAAGGTCTGGTACCTGCCTTGTGTAAACTAGATGCTTATTTTTTCTCATCTGTAATATCAATCAGCTCTTTTGATCTGGTTATTGATAAAAAATAAACAAGAAAAGAAGTGCTAATGGTGAAAGCTTGTAGTCTGTGAATTTGGCTAAAGTTTGAGTTCAGGAATGCCGGGCAGTGTAGCCTGTGATGTCTAATGTTGAGAAGATCATGTCCCACTGCCATATGGGTTCCATAATGGAAATCAACTGCTCAAAAATTAGTTTGAAACTGTGGTTTTACAATGTATATATATTTGAACCTGAAGGGGTTACAGTGTGACTGGCAGTTTCTCCAAATACAAATCGTCAATAAAATGGTGGAACTCCTGTACTCATGCTGAAGTTTGGTACAAGCTGTGTCTTAGGTGGTCCTATCTATTGACAGGTCTTGGTCCTCTAAATATGCAACATGTGGTGCTATGGAGTCCCATATTGCGTCCATACACCCTATAAATTGATCAAAAAAAAACCATACACCCTATCAAACTAAAGTGTTATGGGAATTAGATAGGTGAGACCTTTGGCATTTGGAGTAAACCCTTTGTTCCTTTGGGCTTTGGGTTATTAGATCTGTGAATGCTATGTCTCTTAACCTTGTAGGAAGGGGTACTTGAGAATTGCACTTCATTAGATATTTTGTTACCAAATTGAGGCCTTGAGGGTATCTTTTCTATGATTTTTAGAGGGATTAGATGTGTTAGTGGATGGGGTCATGATAAAATAATTTGTTTTAGAACTTTAGATCTTTGAAACTTAAGATTTTTTTAGGATGAGAGTTGTTGCCATTTCTTTTAAACTATCACATATTTGGAAAAGGTGTATTTTCTGCATATTATTGATTTGTCATATTATATTACATCATTTATGGAAAATTATTATATTAGGACCCTTCAACTATAATTGCCATCCATATCCATAATTTTATGAACTTTTAATTTTTTGGAAGAAATATTTCACTTCTGTGATGTTATCTTGGTAAGCCCCTAATGTTCAAATGAATTTGATGATGTCCAGTCGACAAAGTTGATTTACTTAATTGAATCTCAACATCTGTGCCATTAGGTCCATTCCCCCGCCCCCCGGGGAAATATATCAATCATATGGCTCTGATCTTGGACCAAATGTTGCATTGGTTAGATTGAGATGAATTCACCTCCTGTGAATCTTATGATCTCCCTAATACAGTGATGTTTTGATTCTTCTGAATTTTCTAATTCTCCTCTGGGGAAAAACCAATTTCACTATGTTGTTATGCATTTCAGATGTTATCATAATTTAATCATAGTTGAGATATAAAAGGTCATTACCCAATGTTTGGTCTCAGTCATCTGGGGCCGTGGGAGGGCAGACTGGATATGGTCTAACGTTGGCATTTTTTGCACATAGTTGATATATGATTTGGTTTAATATGGTTGTTAAACAACATAAAATAGCTCTGATACCATGTTAAACAACATAAAATAGCTTTGATACCATGTCAACTAACATAAAATAGAATAGCAAATCAAGGAGAAAATAAAAAGGAACAGAGAGAATACCAAGATCTAGCGTGCTTTGGCTTGGTAGCCTACATCCATGGGAGGAGAGGAAAAAGTCCACTATGAGAACAAGACTTACAACCCTCTCTCTCTCTCTCTCTTCCTCCAACCATAATCTCATACAACCATTAGCATAAATAAGCAACAAACTGGAATATATCAGAATTACACAGAAGATCGTTTTTCTCTCATAAATACATATAGGTCCCCATAATTTATCAATATTACAATATACCCAATTACAATATTTCGCTCAACAATGGTCATGAAGAAAGCAATATCCTGTATTAGGTTGGGAAAAATACTTAACTATTTGGCTTTGGTTCAGGAGTCAAAAATTGTACTACTGTTAGAAGTTTGTGATCCTGAAATTACTTACTGAAGGGGCTAATTTGGCTAGAGTTGGTAGACTCCACTTGTCTATAATATAGTTCTTTATGAATTTTGAAGTTAATCTTGTACCATTGGAGTATTAAGGTGATAACTTCTATCCAGGCCGACGTTGATGGGAATGGCACATTGGATTATGGAGAGTTTGTTGCAGTGACGATTCACTTACAAAGAATGGAGAATGATGAGCACTTCCGCAGAGCATTTTTGTTCTTTGATAGAGATGGAAGTGGGTATATTGAAATGGATGAATTACGGGAAGCCTTGACTGATGAATCTGGCCAAGTTGATGCTGAAGTGTTGAATGACATCATACATGAGGTTGACAGAGATAAGGTATGGCTTCTCTTGACTTGCATCATCTTCTTGATTACCCTCTCTTTTTTAATGCCCCCGATATTTTTATCTCATACTAAATACAAATCATTTTTTTTTTTGGCAATAGATACTAAATACAAATCATTGACTTGTTCTATTTTTGTATAAATAATTCAGGATGGAAGAATCAGTTATGAAGAGTTTGTTGCAATGATGAAAACTGGAACTGATTGGAGAAAGATGTCTCGACATTATTCAAGAGAGAGATTCAAGAGCTTGAGCCTCAACCTGATGAAGGATGGCTCCTTGAAAATGGACGATGAGTTGGATGGTCAAGGTGCTGTAGTTGGAGCCTGAGGGGATATGATATATTTCTTTTTTGTTCTGCTGAATATTCCATTGCCGCTATGCAAGATTCATCATTGATAAAACCATCACATGGAAATTAAGCCATGGGAAGTTCGAGGTTGGTGACTGAATATGGTTTTGTTGCTGGGCTTCGGCTGTTTTTTCTTGGCTGCAGGAAGCAGATAATGGGAGGTCCTCTTAGTACTGGCTTGAGTTGTCCGGTTTTGCAAGGGATTGAAGTGGTCTCTGTGACAGTTCTGTTGGAACTTGTATCAAATATCAAGTTTCCTTGTAAATTTGTCTGTAGTATTTATTTTTTCTTTTTTCTAACTTGTGCCAACATGAATGGGGTCTGTTTGGTGGCATTATGAGCATTGTGGAGTTCTCAATTTGTTTGGGTCTACCTTGTCAGATCAGAGTATATAAAGGTAAAGATGGCCCCGTGGTCCTAATTGCTGCCCGGCGCCCCGGCCATCCATTGCCAATTTTCCACTGCACGACTCCTTTGGGCCTTGCCATCCAAACAATTACCAAATTTGGAATGTCAGACAAAGATAACCCGATAATGCTACGAGGGACCCATTTAAGTAATACATAAATACGGCCCAAAGTGGTGCTGGTTAGCGGGTACTGGTCGTTATTACATATAACTTTTCTCAATAAATGGGCCTCATGTAGTCGATGTGTTTTCAGTTTTCATTCTTCACGAGTACAATCTGATTGCATGATTAGACAAATCTTAAAATTTTCACTGGTTATTGTAGTAATCACATTGTTAGAAAATTGCTGAAGGTCTGCATCCGATCCAAGGGCGTTGGGACCATCATTTGGTAATGGCCCTTAATTCTATAATTTGTCAGATTTGTTAATTCATATATCATTTAATAATGGATGTTAGAAAATAGTTATTTTCTTTGAAAGTGGTGGGCTTCTGGTGACCTCATTAGTCCAAACAGTCCAAACTTGATGGACGACCCAACGTGAATTTGGTTGGGCTTCCCAAACTGGGCTTAGATTGAAAAAGGAAAAAGGAAAAAAATTCAAACCTAGTCCATTGGCGTGCACTGTTTCATTTCATCCCAGCATTTGTTGACAAATACGGAGCCGAGGGCAACAATTTAATTTTTGATGTCTGAGGTCGGCAGGTTCAACCTGCTGAGACAAAGAAGACGTCAAAGGCCTTGGGAGTTATCCCAGCCTTCCAGGGGTGAAGACTTTGACAGTTAAGTTAGTCGAGAGTTGTGAGGGGACAAACCAAGCAAGTGAAGAAACTTAGAGCTTAAGTCTGTGTTTTTACTTCAATGTGGGAGCCCCTTTTATAACCAGAGTTGAGGAACARTTGGGAGTGGTTGATAGTAGTTGATGATGGATGGTCAGGATGCATCCGGCCGACACCATGTGTCAAGATCTGTAGGTCGGCCAGATATTCGTACACCACTTGCCTCCCACTCTCGAGACCGTAGTGGCCGAGGTCGGCTGGCAAGTTGTGTGAAAACCTCAACTTCGGCCGAAGAGAGTATGGTGGATTCGCGTGGAGGCGTCGGCCTTGGTTGTGGAGCTCTGCTTAGTGACTGTGCGACTACTGCACCTCCGTTCATCCCTTGTGTCAGTAAAGGATCATTCTAGGCCGAGGGTGTGTGACCGCGGCCCGTACGGGTGTAAGCTATTTGCGCGCATTGCTCATGCTCCCATACGAGTACTAATGTCACCCGTCATAAGTCCGTACACAAGATGAGCACTAGGATCGACTGATTGAGGCAATCTACGAGATGGTACGAGGGGTCCGGTTCTACATGTCCTCGAGCCAGGGTTGACAGGCAAACCGGCCCCATCTCTTGGCATAGTTTCATCTCCCGAGGTTGGTGCCACGTGGAGCCTATTGGTTCAGACTGCTAGGTTGGCTGGTCAGCGGCCGTTAGATCAATTGAATATGGGTCATGCATTTTCCTTTAAATAAGGAGGCTGGTTGAGACTTCACCATTTGCTCGTAAACCTTTAGTCTTGGAGGACACCTCAACTTTCCACAACCAGTTCCTTAAACTCCCTTTTCATGAACAACTTTAGGTAAAGAATTGTCCTCGACATGTCAGCCTCGGATTCTAGTCTCGAAGCTTACAACCTTCTTGGCTAGAGTACTCCCAACAGCACTCCTAGTGGCGATGGAAGCGACAAGAGTGACTCTGAGAGCTCCTCTCGGACATCTAATGTCAACGTGTTGAGGGAGAGGATCGTGTCTCGYGGGGCCGAGCGTGACCGACAGAGTGCGGACTCTGCTAATGAGAGTACTAGTTCCATGCGGACAAGGGATGATGCCATAGTAAATGTTCTTGTGCTTCCTGAAGTGGTAGATGTGGAGGAGGCCGCGGGACTTACGGTCGAGGAGCAGGTCGAGGCCAAACGCTGAGGCGTGACGCTGGGGCATTATCCCCGCTCTGACCTAGATAGCATTCTCGACAAGGAGAAAATTAGGGGTTAGGCCGAGAAGTACTACATTTCAGAAGACTATAGGGTTAGAGTCCTCTGTGTTGGTGGTCGGCCATAGCTTGCTCTTGAAGGGGAGGTGTGCATTCACGAGCATTACCTTCACTTTGAGTTGTGTTTTTCCCTGCACCTCTTAGTCCCCGAGATTCTGAACCACTACAATCTCACTCTTAACCAACTCGCTGCCAATACCGTTAGGACGATAGTGGTTGTGTTGGTGGTGGCCCATATTTGAGATGTGTTGTGACTCTGAACATATTTCAGAGTTTGTCCACATTAAGGAAGCATCCCGACAGGGAAGGCTTGTGATATTTCCAAGGCCGACAAGGAAAGGTGGTGGACACCCCGTCGTTTGTCCATAATTGGAAGAAGAAATTCTTCTTTGTTAGTTGCCCCCAAGGTTGGCCTTTTCGATTCGGTTGGGGGGACCCAAATACGCTAGCCGAGAGGATCACGCCACGCAGCAGCGATGAGGAGAAGGTTGTAATGAATTGGCTTTGGCTCGGCGGGACGATTCATGCCAGACCCTTGGTGAAGGAGGAGGCATCGGTGATGGCCGGCCTTAATCCTACCCTCCTTGGTACAGACACTCCTGTCGTTTGCTTGTTGCGACATTACTTGAATTTCATTGTCGCTTTTCTAAGTTGTTTGTTTCTCTTGTTGGAAAAAATGGACAACAACTGAAAGGCAAAGTTGTTGGAGTCCGCGGCGTCCAAGAGAGCCGTCCAAAAAGGAGTTTTCGAGAATGCGCCTCGACATCAGAAGGTGGAGAAGGCCGCCAAACAACGAGTCGAGGCCGAGGCAGCCCATAAGAAGCCAATGGTGCAGAAGCACCCTATAGAAGTGGCCCAAGACCCTCGGGCAAAGAAACTTTAGTTGCGCAAGTAGCGTTGATCCAAGGGGGCCTCGGGCGGGTCTCACCAGGGGCACCTCAATCCTTCAACCCCCGGGAGGACAAGCTGCTCATCAATTGTCACATCTTTCGGCCGCAGTAGAGCGTGCAAGAGGGGGACTCCCTGTCGGTGGCTGGTGTCAGCCGACAACTAGCGGTCGGCATGGTCCTTCCCAGTGACTATCAGTCCTGGACACAACACACTGTGGATTCGGTCCAAGGCACGCTTTGGGACAAAGGCTGTCGAGGTATGCACGTACCTCTCTGAGTCCGTTATGTCACCGAGCTCTTTTTGGCGGAATGTGACTGACGAGTTTTCCTTTTCTATGCATATGGTCTCCTACTCGGTCGGCCTCTATGACAAGATGGAGGTGCTGATTAAGCAGCTTTGACAGGCGCAAGAGGAGATCGAGCGCCTAGAGCAGTAATTGGTCAAGGCCGAGGGGTGGGTCTGTGACGAGCACGAACATTGCAAGAAGGTCGAGGCCGAGGTGGCTGCCAAAAGGGAGCTCGTGAAGGAGCTGAAGTCTTCCCTAGTGTTGATGGAGCGGCAGTTGGAGGAGACGGTCATGAAGGCGGTTGAAAAGTACAAGGCCTTGAAGGAGCACGAGGTGGACATAACCTCCTTTGCTTCCTAGGCTTACCTAAAGGGCTTCGAGGATTGCAAGGCCTAAGTGTCAAAGATTCTTTCAAGCTTCAACGTTGGCCAACTGGACCCATTCCATTATGAAGCTCAACAATTAGTGGATATACTGGGGACAAACAAGAACCTAACCGTTGACACCACTGCCAAGGCCGCTGCTCAAACAAGAGGGGGCCAATAAAGAGTTTTCTTGAGTTAATGGAACTTGAGTTTCTTGTCAAAAGATACTCTTCTTCTCTTTCTTCTTTTATGCAAGGGGTCGATGCCTCCCCCCGAAGAGGCTTTTTTGTAAAGAAACTTGCAATTCTTTAATAAAGTATCTTTTTTTTTGTGAAAGTGATATTTACTTAGTCTTTCGTGAAGATGTTCCGTCTTAGAGTCTTTTAGGTCAAGTCCGATATCACAAATCGCTCGATAGCAGTTGCCGAGGTCTCAAAACTTTTTACCTTAGTGAATAAATTCTCTTTGCTTAGTGCGTCATTCTGTGGGGGTTTTGTGGCCGAGGTTGCAAGCAATTTCCCTAGTGGAGAAGTGCTATTTACTTAGTGTGTCGTTCATCGTGTTTTTTATTAAGTAATTGGCCAACGTCGACTCTTTGGCCTTCACAAAGACCCACTTCTTTAAGGGTCTTTGAGGCCGAGGTCGGGGTTGTGGGCCATTTATCATAGTTGTTGAGGTTTCGAAAGCTCTTGCCTTAGTCAAAGAAGGTCAAAATGCACATTGCTACTGAGGAGGCCGAAGCTAACAAATGCCTCCAAGATCTGGAAGCAGGGCCTAGTGACAAGAAGAGGAAGGAAAGGGATGGCCGCGACGACGGCCCCACCAACAAGGGCGGTGAGAAGAGGCTACCATCCCCTTCCTTCGACAAGCACACACCACTAAACTCCTCCCAAATGCACATATTAATGCAAGTAGGGAAGGAGGAATTCATGAAGTGGCCAGCCAAGTTGAAAAGGAACCCAAGAAGGGGGAACCCCAAGAAGTACTGCAAGTACCACCACGACACCGGCCATGACACCAAGGATTGTTACAAGCTCAAGAAAGAGATCGAGTCCCTCATCTACCGAGACACTTAAAAGATTATGTTGAAGGCAACGCCCCAGTGTTGTCCTCGTAGCAGTCATAACCCATGCCCCACACTCATTGCCCCTTGGCCGTAGTTATTGAAGTCATAGCCGGGGGATCGGCCTCAGGGGAAGCACCCACCTCGTCTCGAAAGACATATGCCTGGTAATATAACATTTAGGGCCCAGCATCGAAGAGGCCAAGGTAGGAGGACCTCATTCCTTCTCAAATAACGACCTACAAGGGGTTTTTGTGCCCCACGACGATGCGGTTGCCGCGTTGGTGGTGTCTTTGGCAAGGTGATCAATCCTTGGTGGCATTGACGAGGTGATCAATCCTTGGTAAGGGAAAGTTGTCTTTGGAACAAGCCTTGTTGAGATCTCTCTTATAAAGCCAATACCAAGTAGCTTGTCCACTTCTTCTTTGATGGCTTTCTAGCGCTTCGATGCAAAGTTTCTCTTCTTTGCTGAACCGGCCTACAACTCGAGTCTACGCTCAACTTGTGAGTAAGGATCGAGGGGTTAATTCCTGGCATATCAGTGATGGACCAAGCAAACATGTCGGTATTGGATTTAAGGAAGCTTAGCAGTTCACAAAGTGTGTCTTGAGGGAGGCAAGACCCAACTCGTACTGTTTTCTCAAGCTCATCCTCATCTAAGGGAACCGAGATGTGGTCCTCAGTCGGTTGGTCTCGGCTGAACGGTTCGTCYCTGAGGTCAAGCCCCTCTAGTGGTAGGGCTTCCTTGTCCTTGACTTTTAGTGCTACAACGTAGCATTGTCTGGCAGTTTGCTAGTTTCCCCTAATTACCCCTACACCATGCTCTATGGGGAACTTCATGGTGAGGTGGTAAGACGAGATGACCGTCTTGAGTGTGTGAAGGGTTGACCTCCCTACGATGGTGTTGTAAGGTGAGCCTTATCTTCATGACCAAGAACTCAGTCATCCGAGTGACGTGCCAAGGTTTGGTCCCTATAGTGACCGATAGGGTTATCTTTCCTTCAGGTCTGATAGCTGCTTTAGAAAACCCGACGAGAGGTACGTCAATGGGGTGTAGTCGGTCTGGTGTCAGCTACATCTTCTTAAACATCTCATATAATAGGATTCTTTTCACCATGTAGCTGGTGATGATCATTGACACCACCAACACATTGCCGTGGGGCACAGAAACCCCCTGTATGTCATTATTTGAGAAGGAGATGAGGTCTTTCGGCCTCAGCCTCTTCAGTGCTTGGCCCTGAATGTTATATTGTTGAACAAATGCCTTTCAAGACGAGGTGGGTGCTCCCTTTGAGGCCGAGCCCCCAGTTATGACTTCAACGACTTCGGCTAGGGGCGATGAGTGTGGGGCCCGACCTATGGCTGCTATGAGGATGACACTAGGGCATCGCCCTCAACATAATCTTTTAAGTGTCTGTAGCGGATGAGGTACTTAATATCGTTCTTGAGCTCGTAATAGTCCTCGGTGTCGTGGCCGGTGTCACAGTGGTACTTGTAGTACTTCTTGGGGTTCCCCCTTCTCGGGTTCATTTTCAACTTGGCTGGCCACTTCATGAATTCCTCCTTCCCTACTTGCATTAGTATGTGTGTTTGCGAGGAGTTTAGTGGCGTGTACTTGTCGAAGGAAGGGGCGACAACTTCTTATCACCGCCCTTGTTGGTGGGGTTGTCGTTGCGGCCATCCCTTTCCTTCCTCTTATTGTTACTAGACCTTGCTTTTGGATCTTGGAGGCGTTTGTTAGCTTCGGCCTTCTCAGCAGCGATGTACTTTTGAACCTTCTTCAAGAACTTGACTTTAGTCTTGGGCGAAGTTTAGAAATGGACTAGTTGGGGGTTCAGGCCAAAGGCCATTGATGGTCGTGTGCATGGAGACTGAGGGGTCGAGGTCCTTGACATCGAGTTCTTCCTGGTTGAATCTCTTCATATACACTCGAAGGCTTTCCCCGCGCTTTTGCTTAACGAACATTAGGGAGGTGACGATTTTTTAACATTGTTAGCTGCTCACAAAGTAACCTAGGAAGAGGTCCGTGAACTAGTCCCAAGAGCCGATGGAGTGTGGGGGTAGTGTTGAGAATCATCGGCGTGCTACTCCCTTGAATGTGGCTTGGAAGGCTCAACACATGAGCGCGTCAGAGTATCCGTGCAGGAGCATGAGGGCCCAGAAGCTTTCTAGGTGGTCATCAGGGTTTGTACTCCCATCATAGGTCTTCATCGTCGGGAGGAGATCGGAGATGATGGAATCCACGAAGGCCACCATTTGGCTGAATGAGACATGACAAATGGCGGAGGCGTCACCTTGGCCTTCCTTTACTTGTTGAAGCTGATCCTGAATGGCGCCAATCTGTGCCTGAATATCTCTGAGGCACTAGTCGATGTATGGCATTGTTGCTTCAGCCTAGTCCTAGTTTCTTTCATGTGGGATGGGCTGGCCCTATTCTCGGAGTTCTTGGATGCCAGCACGTCTAGAGCCTTGCGGGTGTGGCAATCGTTGAGGAGGTTAGAAATTGGCAGGGGAGAGGTGTGGCACTGGTCTCTTGCCCCTAGAGGGGACTGTAATGGCTCGAGCGCCCAACGTCATCCCGGCTGGTCACCGCGTGATGGTATTGACGGTTGTGGTTCCTGCGCTCGACGTTTGCCCCCTCGACTAGGGAGCCGAGGGGTCTTAGAATAGGGCTTGCTAGCCTGTCAGTTGCTGTTGTCGGATTCCGAGGGGTTAGCCTCCTTTCGGCCGCCCAAGCGCTGGCTTAACGGGGTATGGGCGGATTGCCCACTGTGTTGTTCGTGACTTTCGACGAGGCAGCCACCTTATGGGTGGCCTCCTACCGGACGCCCTATATTGTCCAACTGCTAAGTCAGGTTGTCTAGCTTGTCCAGGATCAGCTCGAACTGGTCGATTGTGACCAAGTTTTAAATGTTAGGAATGGTGTCTTACTTGTCAGCCATTTCAGAAACACTAGTTGATTAGGTTAAACTTGTTTTCTTAGGAGAAAGTTTTGAAGATGTTTCCCACAAACGCCACCAATTGTTGCTGCCAAATACGGAGCCGAGGGCAACAACATAAATTTTGGTGTCTAAGGCTGACAGGTCCAATCTACTAAGAGAAAGAAGACGTCTGAGGCCCCGGGAATTATCATAGGGGCGAAGACTCCGACGATTAAGTTAGTCGAGGTCTGGGAGGGGTCGAACTAAGTAAGTGAGGAAACTTACAGTTTAAGTCTATGTATCTTTACCTCAATGTGGGAGCCCCTTTTATAGCCGGAATTGTGTTAGAAGAGAAGCAATTGGAAGTGGTTGATAGTATTTGATGATGGATGGTCAGGATGATCCAACTGATGCCACGTGCCAAAATATGCATGTCTTCCAAATATTCCTACATCACCAGCAGTCACCTTCCACACACCTGCGGTGATGGGCTGTCGTGATGAGATAGATGAGAACGCTCTTGTCAGGCTTTGCTCTCTCTTTCATGTGTGAACCACCTTTTCCGTGTAGAACAAGAATCCATATGGCTTACTGGGCCGAAAACAAGGCCTGGGCTGGCTTGACTTGCGCCCTCGGCAGTCGGCAGTCGGCACTCCGTTAAGTCCGATATTTTTGCCCCATTAGCGCATACTTAATACTTGCACGACGAACCCCCAAAATAGACGGAGGTCCCACCCATTGAATTGGAATAATTGAAATACAAATAATGGTAACGTACGCAATTAGTGCGTACCCTCGCCGTACAACCCAAGAATCCACGCCGCTTTGCATTTGGCGTGGCGTGGTGTGGTTGACATCCGGTCGATCCGCAGGGGAAAATCGCAAACAGAGTCTCATCGGACGATTCCCGAAAGTTCTCGAGTTTTCTCATTGCCGACGATGGCCACACTCATGACTCACCTGCCACTCCCAAACAAAACTTAATTGCCAAATAATTACAAGGAATCGTTTTCATTTTCATAAATAAATAAAATAAAATAAAATAAACAAATAAATACCACATCGATCCCCTTCGATTCATTTGATTTGCTGCTGTTTTTTGGGATTCAGACTTGAGAGCGAGAGGAGATCAGAAGACTCAGGGGGAAATGGGTGTCGATTACTACAACATATTGAAGGTGAACAGGAATGCAGGTGAGGAGGAATTAAAGAAGGCATACAAGAGATTGGCCATGAAATGGCATCCCGACAAGAACCCTCTTAACAAGCAAGAAGCCGAGTCCAAGTTCAAGCAGATCACTGAGGCTTATGATGTCCTCAGTGATCCTCAGAAGCGTCAGATCTACGATCTTTTTGGCGAAGAAGTTGTCAAGTCCGGTCAGTTCCCAACTCCTCCCTCTGCTGCCTCTGCTGCCTCTGCTGCCGCCCGTGGCGCTTCTGCTGCTCCCAATTCCAACTACCGCTATAACCCCAGGAACCCCGATGACATTTATGCCGAGGTTGTGGGTGGATCAGAGGGTGGCTATGGCTATGGTGGTCGTGCCGATTCTGTTAATCAGCAGCCTCGAAAGGCATCCAATATCGAGAAAAAGTTGCTTTGTAGTCTGGAGGAGCTTTACTTGGGCACGCAAAGGAGAATGAAGTTCACCAACACCGATGCTTCTGGGTATGTCATTTTCCGAATCGCCCTTTTCTTTATTTGTCTTTAATTGTTAACATTTTTGGTTGTTCTGGGAAAATCTAGAATTTCTTGATTGGGTGTTAGGATGCAGATAATTCTTGGTTTATTTCGTGGCCTCTTATCTTTCTTCCTTCGTAGGCTTCAAAAAATCTTTCTTCCTTGGCATATGGTTTGCCGAGAATTAGTAGTGGTACAGTAAATACTAATTACAAAGGGGAAACCCATTTGTGAAATGGAAATTCGGGGGCAGTGAACCAATAGAAATGCAATTTATAGGGTTGACTTAATTATATCTTAGGGTATCTATTAGAGAATAGGTTGTTAGGGGTGTGGAAAATTTGTTACCTCACACTGGATACATTTCTTCATGGAACAAACCGAATATTAGAACATTTCTAAGTGCATTATAATCAAAATCGAGTAGTTTCTTTTTGTGATTTAAATGTCTATGTAGATGTATCGGGCAGAACTTTAGTGGCATGGATTTGCTCATGTTATGAAAGAGTTAGGGTAACCTAGGAGTGGACTATCCTAGTTAGAAGTTGGAGATGATATGGTCCACATGGATAAGTTTGGGGCTGAGATTATTAGAATGTCAGGTGTCCATTTTTGAACTGTTCTTATTTGCAAAGTAAAACTATAGGGCATAATGAGAAAGAGATAGATTATCTGTATCTGCCAAACTCACTTTTCTAATTGATTACGATGGAATAGATTATTTTTCATGTCCAAGTGAAAGCTTACAATCCAACAAGCAAAAGATCACACGATTTGGAGTTTGGACATGAATTGAGTAAGTTATGGCCAATTTGTTTGCAACCTACAAATCCGTTTTGACATTTCTATATTTTGGTTTTTTGAGCTTTTTAGTTAGAATTCTAACAGTTCGACTTATTTTGGTATTGGTATGTATTACTATATTAGTTTTAGAAGTTGCTTCCTTATTATGTATTCATTTCAAACTTATATTAGTTCAAAAAATCAATTTTAGGAGGCTTTTTAGGAGTTTTAGTTAGTTTTGATATCATTCTAACAGTCTAATTATAGGTATAGGTTGGAGAGTGATTATGATTTTTTCTCCTTTTTAGATTTGGGAAATATGGCTGATATTTCTGCTGCAAAAGGGGTATCATGGCATTATATGTGCCAACCTTTCTTAATCATTTAGGTACAAATCATGCCATTGTTATCCTAACCTTGCTTAATCTAATGAAGCAAAAATAATAATCAACAATTGGAAATGGTCTATTTAATGGAATGGATACACTAGAGGTTCTAGTTTACTGAAAATTCCGTTGGTGTGTATGCGATAGACCTGGTATACCACCCAAAGTTGTGTTGCCTAGGCAATTTATATATGATATAGATGCTATATAAGGTGCTTAATGCCTTAACCGTTAACATTTAAATGCACAAGGTGGTTGTCTGTTGTCATCATCATATCTCTACAAGATGAACATCGGGTGATGTATGACAGCTCCTTCAGCTTAAAACCCTCTGATTCAATTGCCACAAAATCTCAAGCAGCCTTTCTACATGTCCTAGGCTTCCAACCTGTTTCCAACAAGATATAATTAAATCCCAAAATGTCCATTCTCTCTATGTAAGCTTTCTTGTCACTTATCAATTTCTTCTCTGCTTCTCTCCAGAGCCACAATCTGTTCACGTAGTGCTAACCTAAGTAACCAGAGAGTGAAGCAGGAAGTGGTGGATGATCTTAGATGAGARTAAGGGTGGTGGAGGGAGGGAGGGGTGAAAATATGGTATTTTAGTACTCTGGTTATGAGTTGTTAACTAATGATAGAACATTTGGGAGTCTTGAGAGGGGTAGACCAGGTACTGTCCTAACCTTTGGCATTTTTTTGCACAAAGTAACCACCCTCAGATTTGTCTTACCTCATGTCCTTTAATGCCTCATTTCATAGTATCTGGACTCTAGTACAATAAATATATAAATACTACAGACCTTATGACCTTCATCCTCTTCTACTATTCAGTGGTCCATACATGACAGTTTGAAAAGTAATAAATGCATATAACCATCGTTATCTTGTTTACAAGTCCATATGCTGATTTTGGGTTCCAGTTTCATGGTAACGAAAGTTATGAAGTAAGAAAAGTCAATTGGTAAAATGTTGGAACAGGACAAAATCTGAGACAATGATCCTAGTGAATTAATAAACTTTTGACTCTGAAGTTGTTTGCTGACTTTAAGGTGGAAGATTTCTTCAGGTGTTGGGGGGCAATTGCTGGATTCTCCTCTAGGAAACCAAAGGCCCTTGAGGTGTAGTCTCCCCCAATGGCTGGGTGGTTGAAATTGAACTTTGATGGTAGTAGTCTGGGCAATGCAGGTCCATCTGGAATTGGAGGAGTGATTAAAGAGGAAGGTGGCACTATACGGGCTTTGTTTTCAGGTCCAATTGTACAAGGTGATGCTGTAGCTGCAGAATTTTTTGCTGCAGCATTTGGGGTAAAAATGGCTAGAGACATGGGAGCAGAAAGATTGGTTATTGAAGGCGACTTGAAACTGGTAGTGGGGTGGTTAAAGAAAGGTGAAGGGGTGATTTGGAAGCTTAGAATTGAATACAGGCGCTTCAAATGGCTTTCAAGAGATGTGGAAGTTCGAATCAAGTGGGTCAGGAGATCTGCCAATAGTTTAGCAAAACAAGGAGTAAATAGACAACAGATGTACTGGGCTCAGTTGTAATAAAGGCTGTGATACAGCTGGGGGATTGTCTTGTATTGGGTTAGAAAGTTTCTTCACAACTTATGGTTGTAATGTTTCTCTTTTTTATTAATGAATGAATAAATTTCTGTGTTTCTGATAAAAAAATCAATTACCTTTTGACACATGATAGGCCTTTTCATTTCTGAAGTAACTCATGTAAGCAAGCCTGTAATCTTGTTTTTGTGTGAAAAAAGGAAGCAAAGCGGAAGCATTGAAGCCCTAATTTCCCACTTATTACATGTTTGGCTCGCTTGAGACTAGCCTGATTGAAGCATTATCTGCATTCAGGCCTTGGGCTGGGCTGATCTCAGCCTATAAGACCTGGTTTGATGCTCATTCCTAGCTTCAGGCAACAGATATAGGGCTGTTAATGAGTTGGGTTTGGACTAGGTCAGGGTAGACTCGGTCTCAACTTGATTAAAAATACACAGACCTGATAGGGTCTAAGTAACAAACTTAGAACCAATCAAGCAATCCTATTATTAATTGGGCTTATCAGGTCTGATCTTGTAAGATCCAATTCCAACTAACAGGCCTTTAGCCTGGTAGTTTGACAATAAATGATAAATCTACTTTTTTTTGAGAGAAAAATGATAAATCTACTAATTCTCTTGCTCTCTTTTCAAAATGTCTATATATCTGTTATAAAATGATAATATATTCATTTTTATGTGAAATCATCACAGATAAACTATGAGAAACATACATAAAATGTTGGGTGGTATCTTTATCATATGCTGATATACATACACATGATTAGTGTAGACTTAATCATGTAGGAACAGATGGCATCAAACTAAGAAACACTACCAATCTTGCAAAATAGTAAGGAGGCAATAACTATTCTGCCAAGTATTTTGAAAGTGAGAAGTGCAACTGAAGAAGGAGTACGTGGATCTTGAGGTGTGAGGCCCAAGGCAAGGGGCACACCTGAATGAAGTAAGTTGTCTCTTTTGAAAAAAATAAAAAAGTTCACTATGTAAGAATTTGCACTTTGAGAAGTTGAGATGGGGTAAATGATGAAAAAAGTTATTCATAAAAAATATGATGAAAAAAGTTCCATCTTGTAGTGTGCGGTCCCAATTGTGTTCTAAAAGAAACAGTGGGGCATGTGATCTCTCTCTTTGATTGATGAGCAAAGTGCTCCTAGGCTAATGGCTGTGGAGGTATGGGGTAGAAAAAAAAATCTATGAAAAATGATAGGAAAACCCTCTTGATCGAAAAATCCTCTCAATTCACACTTTCTACAGGTGCAGGTGACCAATATATTTCTAGGACACATGGGCTGTATCCAACCCTCTTAGTCTGCATCTAATGTTCCAGTGCAAGTTTATTTGGAGCATTCAGTCTCACCTCCTCCAAATGTTCAACTGATAGTGAGTCATGCATGCTGATAATATCTTAGCCAGTCAAGGGTAATAGCAAAAGTGGCAAGGTCATATGAAACCTACAATTGCTTTATGCTAGCTTTTATAGAAAGAAAGAATCAACAGGATTTTTAGTGGAAAGCCATCTCAGTGGAGGCTATTATTGGGATGGCTGAAAACAAGTTGATATGCTAGGTGGCAGTTCTCAAAGATTTTTTTTGTTTTTTGATGGATAAATAAATATTAACACAAAAACAAAAGAGAGTTGCAGTCTGTAATAAGTACACCCATCAGCCAAATAGGAGGTTCCTCTGAAGTTCTTTCACTTTTTGAGCAATTTAGTGGGGCTCTATTACCTTTCAAGTTTCAAGATCAACACCATGCTTCCAAAAAGATAGCCCATTGGCTAGACCTTCAAGGGGAACCAAGAAAGAGTTGGAGTATTTCAATAAGATACTCAGGTAACCAGCCTTTTCTGGAGAGATTTTAGTTTCACAAAGACAAATAATATTAGAATAGAGCCTTAAACTAAAATCCCTCAAATTTTGAGGCAGTTCCAGCTAAAAATGACCATTGTGAAACTTGTGGCTGTTAAGGACCAGCCACCACTGTCCTATCAACAAAAGCATAAACAAAAAAGAGATTACCTGAGTGTTATCAGTTCCTCTAGCTTTCCCCCACACAAGTTACCAAACCTGCAATTCAAGAGACTGACCATCCCCAGAAACCCCTGAAGCAGCAACAGAAGAAACAATCTGCCTATTATTCAAACCCAAATTCATATCAACCGAATGTGAACTACAACCAGTATAGAGAAACGTTCGTATGAGCCAATAGATCCCTTGCCTCTGATAAGAAGTGACCAAGTCTCCAAGGTCCAGTCTCCTGTTGTCCTAACCATCTTATAGTATTTGCTGAGTCTCCTTTGATGGAGAAGTCCTGAATACCCAGTTTGCTGACTAGGCGAATCCCTGTGAGAGCTGCCAACACTTCTGCCTTTGTGGAGTCAGCTATCCCAATCGGTCCACTGTATACCCAGCAGGTGAGATCATTTTCATCTCTTAGGATTCCCTCTATGCCGGAAGCTCCAGGATTACCAAAAGCACTACCATCAAAGCTTAGAGTCCAAGTTCCTTCCCTTCTTAATGAGGGAACTCGGGGGGGGGGGGGGATAGAGGGGGAGGAGATCAGAAAGTTGTACACATTTCTGTTCAGGTCGTTAACATTGATTCCTGTGCCTTTTAAAATACTTGTGCCAAGTTTCCTCTCCAATTCCATTTTATCCGTCTGTGCCACTTTGAAATTCATTGTTTTGCATTTTATATTGCCTTGTGCTTTACTACACACTGGCTCTTCTAATCTTAATTTTCTTTCAGTAAATGCTTGGTGTTTCACCACTTAGTTGATTGCATATAGAAAACAACGACACGTGATTGTTATTGCATGTGGATTGTTGAATGGTTTCTCATCTTGTATTGAGCATAAATTGATTTAGAAAAGTTCGTATTACCTGTTTCCTTTTTCTTTCTCTATTTTTTCTTGAGAGTAGCTAACTCCTCTTTCTGGATACCTAAATGGCCCCAGGAGATCCATGAACCAGAACATACGCTTCCAAGACCATCCAGTGCATGGATGAGAAAATCAGGAGTGTTAAAGAAAACCGTTTTAATATCTTTTATGGGCCATTTGGAAATTGTGCATCATAAAATTCTTTCCATTTTTTCATTTATTCCTTGAAACTTTTTTTTTGGGTAAATAAATTGGAGACATCATAGAGAGGTAGATCCATATTAGATCAGCTCATAATCAGATTTCATCAAAACACAAAATGAAAGGATCTCATTCCACAAATCTATACTATTATAGTGAGAGAGTTATGCCTTTGTAATCTGTGTGTGCTCCCTGTTGTACATGCTCTCATATACTCCTTTCTTGATTAATGAATCCATTGTCTTTCATCTCAAAAAATAAAGCGGACACTTGCCTTGGTTTTAGTGCAGTTATAAAAGTTAAATTTGATTGTATAATGTCAATTTTATCTTTACCCTTTATTTGCACACGTGCATAGCACATGCTCTTACCCTAGTTTTCTTAAAGCCCTTTAGATATGAAGCTTAAGAATGAAAAAAATAAAATCTTACTCATCTAAAAAAGAAAGAAAAACTACCTACATAATATGACATTAATTCTCATTATGGGATTTGCATTATGTCTGGACTGTGATTTTATATTGTATAATTCCCCTTGGTGTGATACACCTGCAATTTTCTTTTTTCGCAGTAAGAAAGGAATTGTGGAGGAGATCTTGACTATTGATATTAAGCCTGGCTGGAAGAAGGGTACAAAGATCACGTTCCCAGAGAAGGGTAACCAAATGCGTGGCTTCATTCCTGGGGATCTAGTTTTTGTGGTTGAAGAGAAGCCGCATGCAGTTTACAGAAGGGATGGAAATAACCTAATATTCACACAGGAGATAACACTGCTGGAGGCACTTACGGGGAAGACAATCAACCTGGTAACCCTGGACGGAAGGAATCTCACTCTCCAAGTGACAGAAATTGTCAGACCAGGCTATGAGAAGGTGATAAAAAATGAAGGAATGCCATTGGCGAAAGAACCTGGGAAAAAGGGAAACCTGATTATAAAGTTCAATATTACGTTTCCTAAAAGCCTAACTTCAGACCAAAAATCTGCTCTGCAGAGGGTGTTGGGGGGGAACTGATGGCTTCGGAGTTATCACATATGGATGATGATCACACAGGCAGCTGCAAACGCTATTGCATGTAAATATGTTATAGTTTCACTGTCAAGAGAGGAAGAATGTGAATAGCATAGTAAGTTTGGGGACTTGGACACCATTTTTAGGGTATTCAAAGCTGGTAAAGATGGATTGTTGATGATGAGCACATCCCATAATGGAAGAAGTTCATAGGACAAAGAGATTGCTACTTCTACTGCTACAGCTACAGTGCTACTATGCCGCTCCACTGCCTTTTGTTGTCTACTCAGTTTTGTACACTAAATAATACCAGCAACTGAGACAGAGGGGGAAGTAATTGTGACTGCAGGAATCGACTGCAGTTTCAAATGATAATATTCAATGTATCTTTTCTTTTGGTAGATAAAAAGGGGTTTCCATTTTCCTTGTATGTTTTGATAAATAACTTTCATACATACAAGTGCCGATTTTCTGTTGAGAGCACCATTAGAACGTGTTGGTAAATAGGTGGCAGGGACCAATCCACACCACACTACAATCTACAATTATTTTGAATTGTGGACAAATTGTGTGGATTGGATTAGTACACACCCACAGTGTATGGTGTGGACCCGTTCATACCACACTTTTTTTTATTCCATGTATATCATATTTATTTTATAAATGATATATACAATTAATCATAAATATCTAATTTTTGTATTTTATATGATAAATATTTTAAAAAAGGCATCAATGAATTAATATTAACTAATAAATATTGTTTGTTATAAAACAATAGTAAAATAATTAAAAAATATATTTTAAATATGGRAAAATCTATGATACGGGAAAGATATGATATGGAAAGAGTTTTGACCAATCAAAGCCCACCCATGAATTTTGATAAATGACACCTGATTCGCTACCACACTTATGATTCCAATTTATTGGTCAGTTATTTTTTCGATATCATATCTTTTCCATATCATAGTCGAACCCTTTAAACATTTAAAAATATTATTTTATTGATAAAAATATTAAAAATTTATAAAAATTAAAAAATTAAGTAAAATAATTAATATTTTAGATCATACAATTGAAATGCATCAGTAGGAATTTCAGAGATAAAATTGAAGGTGTATCTCTTCACATAGCCTTTGACCCTTGCTCCTTGAAGTATATGATCAAAATTAAAGAGGACGTATCCACGAGTTTTTCCCATTGATGATATATTAGGGTGTGGACAAGACTGATTTACGTTATATTGGGGTGTAGACGAGACCGGTCCTGTCTATACCCAATCGAATGAGTCTTTATCACATCAACAAGACTAAAACCATCCACGAGATGAACATAATGCCAAACACGCCTAAATTACATGGTTTTGCCTCGAATAAGGGCTCTGGCCTGGAACTTAAGCAGGTAGCGCAACTTACCCTATGTTCCACCTATTTCGTGAAACCCAGGGAACATCAACAGCTTAAAGCCTCGGACGACCGACATTTTCTTCCCAAGTCCCCTCTTCCCCAAATGATCATATGCATCTCATCTCATGGCTACACAGGGTACAAAAAGTAAAGCGAAAGGGAATATTGTACTAATCCCAACTTCAATTATTCTTCTGTAAGTGGCTTGGCCCCATTAAGTCCGACTAGTCATTGGTAAATGTGCACGGACACGGTAATAACCGTGTACTGGAACGAGAGACAAACTTGCGTGAGAATCCAGCCGCAGGAAATCTGGGCTCGTAGAACACCCCCTAAACCTAAATGGGTTGTACCCTAGCTTTCTTTGAGGCGTAAAAAACGTATGTTGTGAACAGCTCGAATTAACATATGCTCCAATATTGTTGGGCAGATTGGAGGGTATTGGTTCCTGCTTTCCCACTTCGCACAAAAGTTTTAACCTGTCATAATTTGCAATTGGCATATACTGAAGAGTGAGGAGCATTATGAGCCAGAGAGCCTCCCATACCATGCCACTTTGAACGGGCAGCCTTCTTTAAAGCAACAACTCAATATTTTCTGTGTTCCTAAAGGCTAATACCACAGGGCATCTCCAAGCTGAAAACCTAATAAGTTGCCTATTGCCTTATAAGATTCCTATTCTAATCAACTTCCTGATATATGATATATCTCCAGAATATTACTAAATCCTCAACTAACAAAAGCAGAATCTTATACATGTCAAGAACACCGGAGATCACCCACCTCACTTCTATTCTCCAGAGGGGGTCAACTGAGAAATTCCAATTCCCGCGGCCGCAGTCACCAAATTGCAGCCTCTACTCGGTTGGACCTTGTGAATTGTGCTTGCGTTACGGGATCTAAGTGGGTTTGTTTGTTTTATTGCATTAAGATTCTTCTCAATTATCTTATGGTAATTTCAATGTGTTCAGAAGACCACGTGTATGCCAAAGCTTTAGACTTTCCCTTGTCATTTGATGCTGATTGGTTTGACATTGACTCTCCAGCTGACTCACTGTTGGATTCCTATCTACTTTCCTTAGCCTTTAAAAAGAGAGAGAGGTAGGGCGCCGTGGGGGGTGCCAAAGATTTGTTAGTTGACACTAACAGATCAGATCTATAACAATTGACTAGACTAGATGTTTGATGACTTGAAATTCCAACCTGTACTCTTGTTTTTTTCTTTTTTTATATGCAGTCGGTCGTAGCTGTTTCTGGAGTTGGTCACATAAACATTCAATAGACCACTACATTTACATTGGTCTTCCTCCACTTAGACTCCCCTATTTTAATTCCTCAAAGTTGGGGCCCAGCCCAACTTGACCCATGTGAAACTGGCCTATGAAGCAATATGTACTCGTCTCGTCTAAACTCTAAAGTCTAAAACGATCTCAATTGACAATCTACTACTACTAGTCAACATTCAACTCACCATATGTTTTTCGTTTTCAGGTTGTTTGATATTATAATTATTTTTTCTTTCACGTAATTAGCATTTAGCACTAGCAGTGTTTTATTAACGGGTTCACTTTCCAGGTCAATAACGGGTTGAAACTCGAAACTCTGGCAATGGCAATAATCAGATACGTGCTTTGCATTGGGTGCTGATGATGCACCAGGGACTTGAAACGGAAGGAGAAGAGAAGCTCCGGGGAGAACCCGGCGTAAGGGCTCCGAAGCTCAAGTTAGAATCCTTCAAAGGCAAGATAAACCAGATAGCGCAAAAGTTAGCATACCTCGTTCCTGGGGGGTAGGAGCCTTTTATAACCACCTCGCGCACTCACTTCCAGGCTTCTGTCAGATCGGGCATGATTACTTCTGAACTCCTGCCA